GCGTGCGTGCGTGTGTGCGTGTGTGTGTGTGTGTGCGTGTGTGTGTGTGCGTGTGCGTGCGTGTGTGTGTGTGTGTGTGTGTGTGTGTGTGTGTGTGTGTGTGTGTGTGTGTGTGTGTGTGTGTGTGTGTGTGTGTGTGTGTGTGTGTGTGTGTGTGTGTGTTCACGCTTGGCCAACTGCATACTTTGCTGCGGGTTCAAATCAGGCGTCGCGTGCCAAGGTGCTGACCGCTGTTGCAGACTACATTGAGGACATGGAGACGCGCAACCAATCCCTTGAGGTAAGACGGGTGTGTGTGTGTGTGTCGATGATGTGTCTAGATCTGTGTCGATGTGTCGAGATCTGTGTCGATGTGCCTGTGTCCGAAGCTTTCTCCCAGCCCATTCTCTCTCTCTCTCTCTCTCTCTCTCTCTCTCTCTCTCTCTCTCTCTCTCTCTCTCTCTCTCTCTCTCTCTCTCTCTCTCTCTCTCTCTCTCTCTCTCTCTCTCTCTCTCTCTCTCTCTCTCTCTCTCTCTCTCTCTCTCTCTCTCTCTCTCCCCCTCTCTCTCTCTCTCTGTGGTTGTTTTTGAACGATGGTGAAGCGTGGTCTGAGGATCATACAATCGTGCCCACACAAAGGCAAGCGCACGCACTGTGCTCATGCAACCTTCCATCTCTCCTCCCCCCTCCTTCTACTGCGTCTCCCACACTTTTTCCTGTGCCTTCCCTGTCTCCGATCGCTCGCAGGCGAAGAAGCAGCAGTTGCAGCGGCAGCTGTTGGAAGTCCGTCAAGCCGTTGGTGCGTTGGATCGTGGTCATGTTCTGTGCTCCATCCAAGGAAGAGAAATCGCGTTGGAACCACGCTCATGTCTCCATGGCTGTTGTTTGTGTTCACACCGTCTTCTCGCTCTGCCCTTGTGCACACACACACACACACACACACTCTCTCTCTCTCACTCTCACACTCTCACACATACTCACTCTCACTCTCACTCACACACACACACACTCTCTCTCTCACACTCTCACACTCTCACACATACTCACTGACTCGCTCTCACTCTCACTCACTCTCACTCACACTCACACACTCTCTCTCTCACTCTCTCACACTCTCACACATACTCACTGACTCACTCTCTCACTCACTCACTCACTCTCTCTCACACACACACATACACACATAGCGAATCACGAGGCGATGCTCCAGCAGCAACAGCAGCAACAGCAGCAACAGCAAGCGTCACAGCAGCAACAGCAGCCGCAGCAACAACAACCACCCATACCAATGCAATCCCAGCAGCCGTCGCATCCCCAACAATTTACGCAATAGCTCCTACGTGGCACGGTTCTGTCCGTTGTTTGTGCCTTGTCTGTGCATACGCTCCACATGTCCCACAACATGTGCCAACGCAAGTATATTTCTTGGGCTTGGCGATTGCCCCATCGATTTACTGCCCGCGCCCACTCGCAAATACACACACACACATACACACAATATACACACACATACACATCTCCCTGTCTCTTTCTTGACCCTCCGGTTGGCGCGCAACACATGGTTACAATGCAGTACAACGACACCATGATGATGACAGAGACGATAGGATGCTGGAGTTGTCACTGTTCATTGGACACTCGACACACAGGCACACACGCCCAGACACACAGGCACACAGAATGACGCATACGCATTGGGACGAGGGTTGGCATGATCGGAAAAGAAGCACACAACACTACACAGCACCCCCACAACACTACAGAACTCCACAGCACTGCACAAACAACAGCTCACGATACAGCACACGACACAGCGCAAGCGGTTTTCACAAGAAGGCGGGCATCTCACCCCGCTTGTCCAGGATGTGAACATACTTGCGCCTGCATGTACAGCACAAACCAAGGGTTAGAGGTTGCGCGCAACGTGGGTGCTCAGCGTGGAAAAAGGTGGATATGCATGCCAGTACACAAGTTGGCGTGTGACAGTACAAGCAGGGGGTAAAAAATAAGACATACTTGTTTGGGCCGTCACGCGTGCGGGTAAACTTAACAAAGCCATCGGTCAGTGCATACAAAGTGTGGTCACGGCCCATGCCGACCTATAGCAACATGAAACAGACCAAAGGGGGGGGGGGGAGGGTGCGTGTGTGTGTGTGTGTGTGCGTGTGTGTGTGTGTGTGTGTGTGAGTGTGTGTGTGTGTGTGAGTGTGTGTGAGTGCGTGTGAATCAGTGTGTAAGTGGATGAGGAAGTGTGAAAGGAAGGCTTGAACGCGTGGTTGGATATATACGTACGTTGAGGCCCGGGTGGACGTCTGTTCCTCGCTGTCGCACAACAATGTTTCCAGAAACCACAGCGCACCCTGCAAGTCGCAAATGCGCGACACAAGCAAGACGAACGCCATGGTGAAAAACAGTGAACAAGGCACACATACACAGACACACATAGACACACATAGACACACACAGACACACACAGACACACACAGACACAAAGATACACACATGCACACACACAAAGATA